TTAGCTCAGCGCTACACGTTCTCCTCTCGTCACTGAGGTCCTCCATCCACATGACAGAGAGACAAACAAGCTAACCTGTTGTCCTCCATCCATATTTTCAGTTCCAGGCTGAGTCATTTCTACCTTCTCCTCACTGGTTTCATTTAAAAGAGTCGATCATCAGATATTGTCCAAGATTAACCTTCAGGGTGGATACAGCTCGCTAGCAGCCTCGCACCGAGGACCTATCCATGTCATCATTTACCCAGAATGCTTTGTGTGTAAATAAAATGGCTCTACCTGTGTTAAAATATATTTTTAAAATTTTACTAAACAGCCTACAGTATTTCACAGTGTTTATTTTACAGTTAAAATTAAATGTTTATCAAATAAAGTCTAATGTTACAACTAATCGTGGATCCCTTTAATAATCAATCAGCTGATCAGCACTTCCTTCTTTAACAGGTTTACAGAAATAAAGGGGGGCAGGACCACAGACTCAGACCTTCTCTTCTCTGCTGATAAAAACCCGTCTGCCTATAAGGACTGGATCAACACGATACCTGAGAATCCTGACATCATCTCGTACTCCCTCGACTCCCTGCACGAACTGATGCCGGCCGAAACGACGACGCGGCAGAACCTGCGCTCGGCCATCAGTCACTACATCCTGGAGAAGGGACTGCTGAGAAACTGTAGCGGGCGCTGTCAAACGGGGATCAGAAGCGACTCGAGGGATTCCTGCGTCTGCCAGTGCCACAACAACCCCGCCGTGAACCCGGACTGCTGCCCGACTCGCAAAGGCATGGCCCGGGTCATCGTTACGGTAGAGAGAGCCTCTGGTCTGTGGGGGGACTACTTCACTTCCACAGATGGCTATGTGAAGGTCTTTTTCAACCGCAATGAACGCCGTTCTCCGGTCATTAACAACAACAGCAGCCCACACTGGAACATGGTCGTGGACCTGGGTCAGCAGGACCTGTCTTCAGTGAATACAGTGAAATTTCAAGTTTGGGATCAGGACAGTGGCTGGGATGATGACCTGCTGGGGACGTGTAACCAGGTTTTGACTCCAGGCGTTAAATCGGATCTCTGTAATTTGAACCACGGTCAGCTGTTCTACAAGTGGGACGTGACGTGCGCTCCGAGCCTGAGCGGCGCCTCGTGCTCAGACTATAAACCATCGCCTATGGACCAAAGTCTGAGGGAGCTGTACGTGTCCCGTCATGCCCATCCCATTCCAAAGGCCATGCTGCGCCAGATGGGTGTGTTTGTGAACGAGTCCAGTCCCTGGCAAAACAAAAGTCTTACTGCTAATAAAGACAGGATGCAAAAAGTTTTTCAGTTATTGTAGGCAACAGGTTGGGTCAGAGTCATCTGCCCACTGACAACAAAAGGATAGGATAGGATTGGATAAGATAGGATAGGATAGGATAGGATAGGATAGGATAGGATANTACAATTTTTTTTTTCCTTTTGAGCTTTCTAATAAGAACCAGAAACTGAAGAACAAGGAAACAAGAATCAGAAAAAACACTTTGGCTGCTTTAGAGTCATCAGAATGGATGGATGCAAACAGTACATGTCAACCTCTTCGACGTTTACCTGTATAAAGAGCCTCAAAAACTCGCACCCGCTGCAAAGCAGGAGGAAAGGAGAACGGAAAAAGTTCAAAACTTATTTCTAGAACAGGTTGGAAGATGGCTGTTTGGTGTTATTTATTGTTTTTTAAATCATCCTACAGCCTCTGACATGTTAGATAAATTTGAAAATGAGGTTTTGAAAAAAATCTGTGAGATTGCTCTATACGTCCGTATACCTGACGTAAAATCCTTATAACTTACGGACAATCAGTACAAGTTGATGTATGTGGATGGATAGATGGAAGGATAGATGGATTGTATCTGAGATCAGAAGGGGTTTTTTTCAAACAGGAAGTACTCTTTGTATCTTTTCACCCCTCCTAAATAAAGGCCTTCCTGTAAAATGCTTTGATTTTTATGTTTCCATCATGGTCACTGGACTTTTTTAGATTTCATATCTTCTTTAATTAAACTTTTGTATGTTCAGGAGACCTGAGATAGACTTCAAAATAAAAGCCTGGCTCATCACAGCTATATTTTTACTAACCTAGTATTGCTATTACTGATACTTTTTATTTGAAACGCCCTGTCTGTTTAATAGTTTTATGATAAAACACAGGATAAATGTTTTAGGCAAAAAGAAATGTTTTCTAAATAATTATAATAATTTCAAACAATCTAATCCCCTATTACCTTCTACTACACACAACCGTCTGAGAAAAAAAGTCACAAGTGCAAAACAYTTTTGAAAAGATTAACATTGTATATATTATACCGCAAAAGTATAAATATAACCATGTCGACAACTTGGAGCATAAATCAGCAGATTTATGGCGATTCGATCGATTTGACCCGACCCCCCTCTTCCACAACCGCACCTGAGATCAAAGTGAGATTATTTAGGGGTTTTTAAGGGTTTAAGCTCTAATCTGAGCTGTTAGCTGAGTAAAATAGAAGTTTACACATCAATAACTATAAATTATTTCTCTTATTAGAAAACATATATACGACATATTG